GTGTCTGTGAAACAGTAACAGGCTAACTTAATAGCTTGTAAGTAGAATCCAATCAAATCCCAGACCTGACATCTCTGTTTTAAAAATATGAATTTCTTATAGTTATTTTTACTGAGGAAGTAGTTACAAGACATTTTGTAAGCATACCTACCAATTGGTCTCCATCTCAATGATGGTCCCATCATTGGTTTTTGGCCTCTTAAAGATGGTGAGTCTCTACAATATTGTACTTCGTATACACTCTTTATATTTTTAGTGTGACTCCTTCTTGCTAACTTTTTTTTTGTGTGGCTTTTACTTATGGGTGCGTGTTTAACTGAAGAAATACATCATCTCAGGTCCATTCTATATGGTTGCGCAGATTGGTGACTACACACACTTGCCTAGCTAAGGTGTGATTTGTGGCTGAGATATATACCAAACCATGTGTCCTTACCTCCACCTGAAAGAAGCAGCACTTATTTTCCAGTTTGCATGAATTTACAATGTCTCACTAAGCCATGGGATCCTGGGTGTGTGTGCTTCTAATTTTCATAAAGGCATCCTATAAACAAAGGCCCTGATGATTTTCTGCTTATTTATCTGTCTTTACCCACTGTGTGTCTATTCAGCCCTCTAACAGAAGCTATGAGTTGTATTGATGAAAGAACTAATCAATTACACATTAGCTTCTTGGGTGTGCATAGAGTGTCTTAGCCTCTGTAGTTTCTGAGGCCAAAGACAATTCATAAACGTTTCCACACTGGAGATGTGGAACACTTTATCAGGGATGCTATGATATAGGCTTAGGGGTCAAGGGCAATTTGCTCAGCCTGGTCTTGTCATTTTCTATTTTTCTTGGGAATTTGATCTATGTATGAAAAAACTTTTGGAATCCTAAATGCCTCAAAAGTTTTGACTCAGTGTTGACTGAAAACAGTAGGTTTCAGATTCCTACATTGAAGGTCGTGTAACAAAAACCAATATGGAAAGTCTTATCTAGAAAGGTAAGTATCCAAATGCCTTTGATTATCCCCAAGTCTTTTTTTTTTTTTTTTTCAATTTATGTATACCCAAGGATAAGATTTTCTTGAACTATGAAAACTTCAACTTTTTGTAGGACTGTAGACTTTACCTGTCTACTATTCTGCTTGAAATTATGTTTTTCACTTAATTTTCTCTTTCTGAACTTTTGCTCTTAACTACATTTCTTTTTCAGTGAAACCAGTGTTGTTCCTAATTAGAAATTTAAATTACATCTGGTGCAGTTTGTACACACCAGGGGATATAGTTATGTAATACTTTTAGCCAGCCAAGATATTTTTGATAACTTCAACATAACATTTTTTTCAGAGTACTTGTTGATAAAAGGTTATAAAAATTGTGCAAGAATGTACACACAAGATGCAATTGTGTAACTCGAGAGACCTCACAAGGAAAACATTGCTTTTCTTTTTCTTTTTTTTTTTTTTGAGACAGAGTTTCGCTGTTATCAGCCAGGCTGGAGTGCAGTGGCACAATCTCAGCTCACTGCAACCTCTGCCCTCTGGGTTCAAGCGATTCTCCTACCTCAGCCTCCCGAGTAGCTGGGATTACAGGCGTGCACTTTCACGCCTGGCAAATTTTTATATTTTTAGTAGAGACGGGATTTTACCATGTTGGTCAGGCTGGTCTTGAACTCCTGACCTCAAGTGATCCACCCTTCTCAGCCTCCCGAAGTACTGAGATTACAGACATGAGCCACTGCACTTGGCCAAACATTTCTTGAATATCTTTTTATTTTATGTTACTTGTGGTGCAGAAAAACATTTTATCTTGTCTGTTCTTTCATATATTCTCTCTTAGTATATCTCATGGATGTGCGCTGTTGGAAAGTGAAAACAATCTTACAAATTGAGATATTTCATTAAATTTCAATGAGGTAATTAAGAAGACTCATTTTCAAATATATACATTATTTCAGTGGCTTGAATGTTGCTTAATCAGGAAATGACGAGAATACGAAATGTTGGTTGTTGGACTTGTCTAGATCAGCAGCTTTGAGAGTCAGGCTGTTGAAAGAGATAGCACGTAGGTTAAAACAGCAAAGGCTTTTGCTGTGGGTAGAAACTAATTGGCTGAAAACATTAATAAATTATACTTGCTATTCATGTCAAGAGAAAGCTAAGAAAGAAGGGATGAATATGTGTATCTATGAAGGCATTACACTGTGACACATGATATTAAAAAATAAAAAGCATATCCTTTGACTTAAGCTCTTCTTCCTATGTTAAGAAATAGAAATAGAAGCTAAGTTCCTACCATTTACTTGGCAATGCTTTCTTGGGACTATTATAACATGTTTTAGATTTGGCATTTTCAGTCAATAAAATATTGTTAAGATGGTTGCCGAGGAATTCACATAAAATGTACGTAAAATGTTTATTACTGGGACCACTGCCTGGGTTTATGCTAAAATGCTTTCAGTAAAAACCCTCTAAATTCAGAGCTAATTCTTTCCCTTTATTTTACGTTTCTCTATTAGGTACCTGTAGGCTACACACATCGGCCGTAGATTGACTGAAGTCCTATTCATAAGACAGAAGATTCTAGTATGATGTCAGAGTTAAAAACTTAACCAGATTAGATACTGTAGACTACAATCTTTTACAAACAAATTGATTTTTCTTTCCAAACCTTTTGCAAAATTTCTGTAAGAGAGACTCATGGACTTGGAAAATTCTCTGTGAAGCTGCTTTTGGCAAAGTCCTGGCAAAGAAACACTTTTGCTGTTTCAGATCCTATTCTTTGAGCCTCAACTCGCTATTCTTATTTCGTGCTATTTGGTTTTTTACTCCTCTGAGGTCTCTATGAATCTCTACTGTTTTGGATCTCTGAGTACTTACATCATCCCACTTTAAGACCTGTTTGGATATTCTTTTTTAATTTATTTTTTATTTCTTTTTTTGTTTTTTTCCCCCATCCAGAACTCATGTTGAGTGGTTGAATATTCTCGTGGGGTGCTTTGGTGTTTTCTTGACTTGTTCCTAACTAAAGTGTAAGTTCTGTTAAAGTGATTAGTATCCCTGTTTTGGAATCTCCCCTCATTCTCTACAAGCCCCTAATATAATAAATCCATAAGTGCTCAGTTAAGTAGGTTGCACGGTTTGGAAGTCTATCAAGGGGCTAAAGTTAAAGGATGGTTATATTTTATGCTTTGCACATTGAATTGAAAAGTTAGCTGCAGACAGACAACTAAGTCAAAAGTCCTAGATTGGAGTCTCATCACTGTTGCTCAGTTGACCTGGTGATCTTTGGTCTGAGATTCAACCTCTGTCTTTACCAGTGATTTATGAATCCCTAAGTTTTCTTTTATCCCAAGTGTTCTAAGATAGCTTGATTGCTCTATAGTAGTGGTTTTCCAAGTGTGGTACCTAGATCAAGAACAGCATCATCTTGGAACTCATTAAAAATGTAAGTCATTGGACCCCATAACTTCATAGAGAAAAGCTCTATACCACAATGTTAGCCGACATTGAAGATTGTGTAGCAGTTTCATGATGGGCATTTACATCTAGTATCTCATGTTTCAGCTTTCAGTCTCTGTAGAATGGCTCACCACTGCACCATATTCAAGTTTCCAGGGACTACCCACAGGATTGCAGCTTCCAAGCTCCTATAAAGTACTGGCAATTCAGGAGTGAAAAATGTTTCTTAGGGTGTACAAAGAATATGCAATGGACAAGGGATTAATTTCCAGTGGCAGCCTCCTAATTTTGTATTCATAACGTTGTATGCATGCTAGGCTACACATGCAACGTCTGCTGATATACATTAGGTAATTGGGCATCCAGCAGCCCCATTTGCATGCAAAGGCTGTTGCACACCTCACATTTGCAAGTCTAAAATTAAAGCCCAGTTTGAAGCTGGCTGAAGGCTAGCTGCTAGAAAAATAATGAGATAAGGAAGGAAATGGCTTCTGTTGATCAGTGCTTTTGGTCTCTACTGTTCAATCTTTGCTAATTTGCCCTTTGAAATGGTATATTCAGGTAGAAGAGAGAGACTTCCAAGAGTATCTGGGTCGATTTTTTTTCCCCCTCTTAAATCCTACAGTTATAAGCTGGTTGTGTTTATCCACAGCATTTCTCTTAAAACTGTACCTACACGTATGCTGCAGTCTGTTACTGTGCTATATTTTTGCTTAACGGAGTATTCATGCTCTTGTGGGATCACATGTATCATCTCAAAAAAGAGCCACCCCAACACAGACTCACAGGCTAGGTCTGTAGCATCATTTTATTTTAATTCAGCCCACATTTATCAAGCAGCCAGTGTCTTTGTGCCAGACACTGTGCCAGGGGCTTGGAATACACATCAATCAAGCACACTCTCTGCCCTCAAAAGCTCACAATATTTTAACAGCTTCCTAGTGTCATGGAGTTGAATATTTTTGCTTAAAAAGTCTTCCCTGATCCCCCTGTTTGAAATGACTCTTTGCTTCTCCGAGCCCCTGATTATGCTCAACCTGTGTCCCTAGAAGAAGAGACCCAGTGGACATAGGCCTAGAAAAGTCAAAGCCTAGAAGCCAGTTAGCTACTCAGGTCATCAAGAGGAGGTGGCTGCATTGCAAATGGCCTCTAGGCTCAGTCTGTGGGAACAAAAAATGTACCAATGTTTCCTGTACCTCGGTGTGGTCACACGGAAGAGAATGCCAATCTAAAGCAATCTTAAAGGAATTTACTCACGAGCACCACCTAGAGGAATGGTGGAGCCCTACAAGGACAGTATACCAACTAGTCACTTGTCACTCTTCATCGAATTTTTTATATTTCCTTATTTGGTCATGTCCTTTGTTTTACTTTGACATCAAGATTGTGAGGTCCCAGAGAACAGACCAGGGACTTAAGAAGATTATCTTTCATGGTGCCTATTTGATGGTAATGATCATAAATACAGTATAATGGGAGGAAAAATATCTGGTGGTTTATATGCATTGGTAGTTTCTCATGGTAATAAGCATTTTTTTTTCCTCTTCCTTTTAGCACAAGTGCATATACCTTGATAGCACCAAATGTAAACCGGAGAAATCAGATACAAAGAAGTACGTATAGCCATTCATTTAACATTCAGAATGCTTCTCTCTTTTTACAATTGGTTTATTTTGGTGTGAAGTATTTTTATTTTCTGATTTATGTAGACTCACCAAATCTCATAAAGTTTTTTTTTTTTTAAAAACATCAGCAGTTTTGATTATACCTTTAAAAATATTCTATTAACACTTCTAAGTTTGTTTCTCTACATTAGTAACAGAACTCATGACACGATGGTAGATCCTGGATTTCTACTGGCTTGAACAACTTTACACTTATTGCCAATAAACCTCCTTGAGGGCAGGGACCACATCTTACTCGTTTTTGTACTCTCTGTACTTAATGTGTGCATAACATGTTTAATTGATGTACGGTAAATATAAATGCTGCCATTTAAAGTTATAGCATTATGCTTTAGAGGTGGAAGAGAACTAAAGTTCATTTAGTTCACAAAGAAATAGTAGGCTGTTCAAGTCCAGCTGTGGGGCTATGCTGAAATTCGATGGTCTCCTTTATTAGATAATCGGTACGAAATTTAACTTCATGACTAATGATGGACAGAAAGGCACAAAAGGGAAAAAGCGCTCTAAAGAGTCCCCACCAGACATGTAGCCCCGGGTGGGACAGTGGGTCAGTGCAGAATATGACAATCACAGCCATGCAGGGACTACAGGAACTGCCAGCCGATCTGGTATTTTACAAGCTTTTGATTTAAATGCTTAACAGGAGCTTAAGTCTCAATGTGGTCTGGATTCTGAAATGTTTCAGAATTTGTTTTTCTAGTAATGGACATTTGAAACAGGTCTCATGAGGAGATAAGGGAAGGCGCTGGAGTGACAGAACTAGTTTCTCTCTGGCGCCCCCTGCTGTCGTGCACAGTGAACATTTAGGAAATGAGCACAGCTCCCCCGGAAGCCGACTCTGCATGGCGGTCCGGAGTGCCCGAAACCAGAGCCAGGGTCCCCACCCGTGGCACCGAGCCCTCGCTCCCTAGAGTTGCAGTAAGCTTGGGGAGCATTGAACATAAAGCGAGTATGGGCATCAGAATTCTCTGGGGATATGTTTACCTGTGTGTGGAAAGTTCTTATTGACATGAAAATATTCTAGTTTTGCACACATTTTCTATAGGAAACTTTAAAAATTAACTTGATACAGAGTTTTAAAAATGCCAGAATGGTAGGAAAATCTATACTTCTTTGTTTTAGTAGGAGTCCAGGTGGTTTTTCAAATTTGAACCCTCTGTGCTGATTCTTGGTGAGAAGTGCCACAGGGCCGGGCCCGGGGTGACACATAGGGGTCAGGGCTGAATATTGTGTTTCTAACCTGGAAGTCTTGTTCACTCATGGTCATATGTAGTTAATTGCCTTCTAATAGTTGTTTCTTATGCTTCGAAGGGACTGGTTTTCTTTTAGAAGTCTAGTAACTGACGATTTGATATTTCTCACCTGGCTTAGTTGCGGAACAGGAGCTGGCCAACCTGGAGAAGTGGAAGGAGCAGAACAGAGCTAAACCAGTTCACCTGGTGCCCAGGCGGCTAGGTAAGCAAGCACAGCCACTGCCTGAATGCGGGATGGCGGGGCCCCCTATGGATCCTGTTAGCAGCTTGCATATGTCTGTCTGTGAATGTCCATTGTAGTTTGTTTGGTCATTGTGCTGCCTGGGTGGAATGCGTTTTGTGTGTGTGTGTGTGTGTGTGTGTATATATATATACATTTTTTTTTCCTGATTTTCTGCAAGTAGCAAACCTGTAATGCCAGAGTTCTATGGGAACACAGTGATGGCTTAATTGCCAAATAATTTAGAGCCTCTTAGATGATTGACTCTGAAGAAAGCTTACCTGGGGCGCTGCATATGCCCTGTCATAGCACTAGTCAGGATGGGAGTAAATGCTAGGACGAGCATATTAATCATGGTAGTTAAATGTTAATCTGAAGAAAAGGAGTGGAGAGTCAGTTCCAAGAGGAAGATGAGAGTGAGCTAGAAACCCGGTGGTGGGTAGAAGAGAAACATCACCTGTGTTTTTATTCCACAGATAGAGACCTCTGGGCCT